CACACACACACACACACACACAAAGATACCTATCTTGTACGCATCCCCCACACCCCACCCCAATCACACACATCTGCAGAGATTTTGCCACCACCATTGTTCTCTTACGCGCAGCAAATGCGCGAGTTAAGCGGTGAAGGAAGTGGACATATATACATATATCCATACATACATAACATATATATAGATATAGATATATATATATATGGGAGAATATAAACTCAAATCTACCCCGCAAAAGCCCTAACCCTAAAAGAAACATCAAGCCGGCACAACCCAAGTGGCAGACAACGGCACAGAAAAGGCGTAGGGGTGGGGCCACTCTCAGAGTTGCCCGCTCACCCGTATACCACCGTTCCTTCTGTTGTTCTTCCTTGGCCTCGCCACGTGACTGAATGCCTGTTGCCCCACAAAGGGAGACAGACACACACACTAGTTAATTCCCTATGCTCGAGATATTTGCCTTTCTTCTTTTATTTAGGCGCTTGCACTTGATTTTCTTTTCCCTTCTCTGTTAATGAACTCTATTTTTTTCGACTTCAATTGAGTATTGGATTTTACCGCCAGCGTCACTGATGGCATTGTTCACTGCGCGTGAAGGAGTGAGTAGGTGTGCACATCCCCCACACGCATGCGTTGCCGTACCTCGACTTCTTACCTCCGTCCCGCTTGCATATCTTATTCCGTCTTCGCTTGCACCTTCTTTACTGTTGCATCATCATCATCGTTTTCATCTACATTCTGCAATTTCCTCAGCTACACCCCACACAAGCCTTTCCCTTCCTGATCGTTTTTTTTTTATTTTTATTTTTTTTTTTTGTTGGGCTATCTGTCAGCGCTGCCTCCTTTTTCTACTGCATCCCCTTACTGCTCCCCCTTCGCCTCTGCGCGCGCGCGCGTATGTGTGTGTGAGGAGCGGCAAGGCGTCGGCGCAGCGCCTCGCACGTCCTCCTCGCCGCTCCTCACACCACCACGCGGCGTGCATTTGCATCACATACGACGTCGGCGGGGGCAACAGCAGCAAGACAAGCGACAGCATACAGAACCCCCTCCACACAGACACACACACACAGAGAGAAAAATAGGGATAGAGACCCTCCCCCCCACCCGAAAAATGAAAACAAAAACCACACACCTTGAGAAGCAAGGCGTCACTCATTTACTCATTCTTCTCTTCACTACTTTCGTGGTCGTACCGCTTAGCGCCCCTGCTCCTTCGCCAAGGCCGTGGCAAGCTCCAAGTGTGTGTTCATGAACTTGAAGAAGTCAAACTCATTGCTGTCCATGCCCTTGGTGTACACGTACTCCGACGCGAGCCACATGGCGCAGATGGCTTGCTGGTAGCCGACAGGGACGCGCTCCATCAGCACTTCGAGTGGCACAACACTCAGCAACGTCTTGGGCGTGTACTGGAGGAGAATGTAGCGCATGAGTTCCTGATTCTTAAACACATCGCTCGCGAGAATGTTTGCGCGCATCTTCACGTTCTTCTCACTGAGTGCATCCGCAATGAGCGTCTTCGCCATGCCGGGGTGCAGCTCGTGATCACGCCAGATCGCCTCGAACTCGCGCTGCGCGTTGTTTTCAATGCGGGTGATGATGTCCTTCACGTAATCCTTGTAGAACTCCGGCACCGTCTCGGAGCTGGCGGCGCACATGTAGCGGGCGTGCTCCTCGTCCGAAAGTGCGAGGCCGGCGTACACCTCCAGCGACGACGACGTGACACCGCCCTTATTCGCCGACGCGTCCTTGATCAGCACGACGCCGCAGCGCTCCAGCGCGAGACGGGCGCCCTGTGAGATGAAGAGGTTCGCCCCTTCCACGATAATTTTGTACTTCAGATCCTTCGTGTTTTCGAACTTGCCGGCGAGCATCGCCTCGCCTGTGGCATCCGGCACCTTGAGGAAGCGACCAACGTTGTCAAGCGTCACGCTGCGCGGACGACCACCACACGGCACGAACACATCCGCATCGCTGTACTTCGTGAAGTAGAACTCATCACGAAAGACGGCACCATCCGCGACACAGTTGCCGTCGGGCAGCGTCACATTCTTGTCCTCTGTCAGCACAAGGAAGCCCTGCGAGGATAGTTTTGACTTGTCAAAGTGGCGCAGCTGCAGGCGCTCCTTCGCAAGCCGCGCCAACTCCTTGCGGTCGATTCCGTTCGGGTCATGCAGTGAGGCGGAGATGTCAGACATCGCCATCACCTTCTCTTTGCTCTGGAGGATCTCGTTGGAGCCGAGGTCACCGTCCGGACCACCGGTCTGGAACTTTGTCATCTCCGCCTCGTTGAGGTTGAGTTTCCCGTAGATGCCCCGCACCATCGTGCGCACAGAGCGCGTTGTCATGCCGTACTCATCATGCGGAATGCCTCCCATCGACGTGTCTTTGCCTGTCGTGAAGGATTTCCATGCGGTGTAGTTACGCCGCTTGCTGTGCAGTGCGCCCACTGAGGGAAACGTCCCTGCTGTGTTCTCATCAGGCCCCAGGAAGATAATCTCCTCCTGCTTCAAGTTGTCAACAATACCACTCTCACCTGGAAGGATCACATCCAGCATACCATCAATGTACTGCAAGAAGAAGCGTTGGCAACGTGCATGGTCAAACCGGGTCATGCAGCGGCTTGAGACGAGAATAGTGCCTTTGCTGCCACCCTCAGGGATGTCCTTATTTTTTAGGAGCTGCGTGTGGGCGAGATTGTAGTTCTCCTGGAACACGGTCCGCTTGTTCCTGCGGTATGCGTTCTCCTTTGAGATAATCATGCGAACCCCACCGCGGGCAATGTCGGTGAAGCGGACATGGAAACCGCGCCACTGACCACCGGCGAGCAGGAAGACACCGTGTGGCACGCGTGGGTACTCCAGCGACTGGAGAAAAGCAGGATCGAGGCGGAAGCAGAGGGCCACCTTCTCTTGCTTGAAGAAGTTGTGTTTCAAAATCACCTCGTTGAAGCGCAGGAAGGTGATGAATATCTCGAGATCGTGTGCTGAACGCTGATCTTCCCTGAAACGAGCGGCGATCTTGTCTCGAATAGACTGCCGTGACTCCGGCGTTGTTCCACGACGGAAGTCCTCAAATATCTCAATCATGAATTCAGGGTAAAGGCCAATAAGTGTACCAATATAGCGCTCCGACATCATCTCCAAGCTCAGCGATGTGCGAAGGGCGTTAAGACGGTTTACCCCATTTGGTTCCTTTACGAGAAGGCTGCGGAGGTGTGCGTAGTCGTCCGTGGTCGGGCTTGGCGTGAAGTAGAACGCAAATACAATGGCTGCATCGGTATAGACCGTCTGCTCCACGCTGAAAACCATGTTTTCGTGCAGACGCATGATGGTGTTGGTGGGTCGGTTAGGCAGCAGTCCTATCATAGATGCACAGTCAGCCAGCTGCTCGCTGGTGGCGCCACGGATGTAGAAAGTGTAGATATGCACTTCATTGGAAAACGTCTCTGAGAAGCTGCGCAGCACCACCGCGCCAGGGATCTCCTGAATCATCGCATGCAGTGAGGCCATGTAGAAGGTCCGCTCAGCGGAGATGGCCAGGGAAAAGCAGAGCTCGCCATCATTGCCATCGGTCACGGCGAATACTGGAACGACGGATCCTTGGAAGCGAAGAAGAAGAGATTGGTACCGCTCCAGCACCTCCGGCGAGCGCTCCTCAAGGAATTGGGTACTGGCAAGCTGCGAAATGCTCGTCTCACCCTCAGCTGGTGTCGGGTTGATGAATGGACGCAACTTCAGGGTATAAACGCAGATGTCACCGTCGTCGGTGGTGTAGCCGCGCGTGGAGATGGACACCTTCGTCTCCCGTTCGCGGCCCACGAACTGCGCGAGGCGGCGGACGGTGGCGAGCTGGCTCTTCTGATCCTTCTTGCAGATGTAGAAGGCGCAGTCCGCACCCTCGTGAAAGTGCTGGAACTGATCGCCCAGTTCATTGTTCGCCTTGGCGCAAAGGTAGCCGTGCACGTGCGCCGTCACCTCCTCCGCTGAGTAGTATTTGCCGTAGGAGCTATCGGAGAGGCCGCCCATGAGGCGCTCGACGGCGTTCTTGATGGAGGCATCATCGAAGAGGCCGCGTGCCTTCACCGCACGCACCACGTCGTCGTGGTTGACATCGGAGCTCAGGCACCGCAGGCAGCTGCTGAGTGCGACGGTGGCCAATCGGGCGGCACACACCCGAAATCCAATACGACGCATCATCTTTTCTGTTCTTAGTATTGTGTATTTCTCTGCTCCCTATGCTTCTGTGTTGCTGTTTGCTCTCCTAACTTTTTTTTTTATTTTCGTTCCTTTTCGTCCCGTTTCCCGTTCCTTCTTGTTTGGGTAATATGTAGGCGCTGCTGCTTCCTACGGCGGTCAAGGAAGAGAGTCAAGCAGCCACCAACAACACACACACACACACACAGGCATTCCCAGTAGACACGCAAGCGCATATGCGCATGCGCCACACACACACAAAAACAAAAAAAAAAAACATGATGTCCACTTACCCCACCCCACAGGCAAACACAAGTTCACCCCCTTTCGCTCTCTCACCGTTTTTTCCTCATCGTATTGTGCTGCACGCCTCACATCTGCCGCGTTAGGATGAGGCTCATCGCCGCTTCAAGAGAGTCCCGCGCCTGCGAGTGGTGGAGCGTGTGCAGTGCCTCTACGCCGCGGCGGCAGTGCTGGTCGGCGTGCTGGAGAGCCTCTGCGACACAGCCGTGCTTCTCCACCGCCTCCATGCACACCGCCGCGTCGTCGGGTTCTCTGAAACGGCGCCGCACCGCCGCGGCGACGCATGCATCCTTCTGCGAAGCGAGAAGGACCGGCAGTGTCGCGATGCCCTCTTTCATGTCGGCCATCTTGGGCTTGCCAAGGTTCTTCTCATCTCCTGTGATGTCGAGACAGTCGTCAACGATTTGAAAGGCAATTCCCAAGTGTTTGCCAAACGTGGCTGCTGCTTCCTCGTACGCGGCGTTCTGCGGGCTGGCGAGCACCGCCGTTGACGCAAGGGAGTTCGAAATAAGGGAGGCTGTCTTACAGTACGTCTTTTGCTCATAGCGCTCCAGGTCGAAGCAGCCGTCCATCTGCATCAGTTCACCTCGGGTGAGATCCTCTAGCGCCGTGGTCATGAGCACCACAATGCGTGGAACGCAGAGAGTCGCGATCCACAGTGAGGCGCGGGCGAGAAGGTAATCTCCCGCCAGCACTGCGCGCTTTGCGTCGTACACGCAATGCAGCGCCGGCTGCCCGCGCCGCGTGTCGCTGTTGTCAATCACGTCATCGTGGACAAGGGATGCGGTATGTATGATCTCCGTGACCTCCCCGAGCCGCAGGAACGGCCGAATGGTTCCGATGGTGATGTCGTCAAGGGAGCCGATGCTGCTTTCCTGCATGTGCTTGCTGACATGCGGGGGAAGCAATGCGTGCGCCATCATAGCCACCAATGTAGGGCGCAGCAGCTTTCCACCCGCCTTGAACAAATACTTGCCAGCGTGGTCGAGGACCTCATTGTCTTTATTAGCAACAAGTCCCACTATATGCTGCTGCATTGCCTTGACCTCACGCGCAACCATTGCGAATGGGCGTCCGTTCTCCGTCAGCATGGCGCTGGGACTGGCGGCCGTTGCCGCTGCACGTCTGATCATGCCTGAGCGTAACATATTATATATTTTAATAGATGTGAGTGCGTGAATGTGTGATTGACTGTCTGCCTGGATCTATATATCCGCGTGTATTTATAGGCGATACTTTGTGTCCCCTCTCGTCACCCTCCACCTTCCTCTTCTTCAGCGCTACCGTGAAAGCATCAACAATAGTGGTAGTAGTAGTAGTAGTAGCAGCAGCAGCAGCAGTGAGGGGAGGAGCAGGCGGTGACCAAAGAAAGACCCAAAAGAGGAGACCGTCAAGGAAAGTTGCCAATGCTGCAGACCCTTTCCCCTCCTTCTTTCCGTTCTTTTCTTGCGTGTTGTTGTTGTTTTAACGACTTCGTGCCCGGAGGAACGACGCAGCGCGAAGGGAGACGCAGAAGAAAAAAAAAAAACGAAGCGGCGCGTTGCTGTGGCAACGACAAGTCCGTCCTTCAACTGCACCGTTAAATTCCTTCCCCCCTGCACTTATCACACATCCGCCCCTTTGCTTTATTGGCCATGTCAGCCGCCGCCTCCGTGCGCCTCTTCCAACACGCCACCACCCAACAAACGCACTGAGGCACACACACACACACGCACACATTCCCTCAACGACGCATCACATCCGGCGTTTCTTCTTCATGAGCTGAGCCATGCCCAGGCCGCCGCCGTCGTCGTCATCCTCATCACTAGACCTGTCGCGCTCCTCACCAAGCCGAAGGCCATCCTTTGTTTCAGGGCGCTGTTCCTCCATCTTTCCCAGCGCCTCCATCTCGCGGCGAATACCCTCGTTGCTGATGACAGCGGAGCCGAAAACACCCTTGCGTATACCGCCAGCGCGACGTCTGCCTTCGTCCTCGTCGTCGGCGTACAGTGAAGGCAAACGCTCAGTTGAGGTGCCGTCCTGCTTCACGCCCGCCTCCGCCGAAGCTGGGGTTGCGCTGCTGCTCATTGGGGGCTGAATGTACCTGCCTGCAACGCCGCACAAGCCCTGACCAGCTGCCGTGTCGTCAACCGTCTTGAGAAGCATCTCATCCGCCTCTAATGCTTCCACCGACATACCCAGTCGTGTGGCTGCTCGTGCTAGGCGGCGCTGTCGCACCTCCTGCTCCTTCTCCCGCTCCCGTAGCCCACGCTCAAGCCGAATGCGCTCCAAGCGCTCTTCCCGAGTTTCCTTCTTGCGCTGTGCGGAGGACTGCAGCATGTTAGCCGCGGCTTTTTCGAGCATCTCTCTTGCTTGCTGCGTCGCCTCCGCCTCTCGTTCGGCCTGACGCCGCTCCTCCTCTTCCTGTTGGGCTTTTTCACGATTGGCCTGCTCCGCCTCCACTTCCCTTCGTGCTTTCTGCATTGCGACGGCAAGCTGCATGACATGGTCACTGATCCCACTACCACTGCTCACCGCGTCAGTCTCAGCCTGCTGCGCCAGTCTCTGATCCAGTGGGATGACAAGCTTGCGCTTATTCTTCCAGTTCCCAATGCTGAAGGGCACCACTGTCGTGCTGGAGGAGGATCCCGTTGACCCGTCGGCTCCCTCGTTGGCTCCCTTCGTAGTGCGTGTAGGCGACCGCACAATCGGCGCTGGGTCATGCATGCCGGTGGCGCCCACATCCCCAGGGAGCGCTATCTCCAGCAGAGGCCTCTTGCGGGCGTTGCGTCGGATGTTCCGGCCGCTAAAGTCCTCCTCTTGTGCCTGCCGGTTCTGCAGCGCCGTCTCCAGGGCCTCTCGCGTCTTCTCAGTTGTCTGTGTGAGCCGCCCCGCCCCATCGTCGCCGCGGGCCTCCGTCATCGAGACCACCACGACGCCCCCAGGAACAGTAGTCTGTGCCGTGCGTACCTCCTCCGGCGCCGCCGCGTTGCCCGCAGTGAACTGCACGCGACGCTCCGCCGCCGCTGCCGTGATAAACGGCGGAAGCGGCTTGCGCCCCATACCGAGCGGGTACTGCGCAAAGAAGCACTCGGCAAAAGCGCCCCCGTCCTCGCTGGGTCTCCACATCGCCACACACACACACACAC